ATACATATACATAGTATCTATTCTTTTTCAGATTCTTTTCCCTACAATTGTTTTTTTTTTTTTTTTTGCGGTACGCGGGCCTCTCACTGTTGTGGCCTCTCCCGTTGCGGAGCACAGGCTCCGGACGTGCAGGCTAAGCGGCCATGGCTCACGGGCCCAGCTGCTCTGCGGCATGTGGGATCTTCCCAGACCAGGCCAGGGCACGAACCCGTGTCCCCTGCATCAGCAGGCGGACTCTCAACCACTGCGCCACCAGGGAAGCCCCCCTACAATTGGTTTTTATATATTGATCTTGTATCCTGCAACATTGCTAAACTTGTTTATTAGCTCTAATTGTTGTTTTAGTACATTCTTTAGGATTTTCCTTATATAAAATCATGTAATTTCTGAATAGATATACTTTTATTTATTCCCTTCTAATACAGGTGCCTTTTATCTTGCCTGATTTTACTCTTGCCTGATTGCTCAGGCTAGAACCTCAAGTACAATGTTGAAAAAAAGTAGGGAGAGCAGAAATTCTTGTCTTGTTTCTGATTTTAGGGAAAAGGTTAAGTATGGTGTAAGCTGTGGGTTTTTCTGTAGATAACATTTATCAGGTTGAATAAGTTCCCTTCTGTTTCTAGTTTGTTGAGTGTTTTTATCATACAGGGTATGGGATTATAACAAATGCTTTTTCTGCATCTATTGAGATGATCATGTTGATTTTGTCCTTTATTTTATTGATATGGTGTATTACACTGAGTGATTTTTATATATTGAGCCAAGTGTGCATCCCTGGTATAAATCTCCCTTGTTCACGGTATATCATCCTTTTTATATGTTGTTGGATTCAATTTGTTAGAATTTGTTGAGGATTTTCGTGTCTATAAGATATTTGTAGTTGTCTTATAATCTATCTATATGGTTTTGGTCTCAGATTAATACTGGCCTCATAGAATGACCTGGAGAGTGTTCCCTTTTCTGTTTTTCGGAAGAGTTTATCAAGGATTAATGTTAATTCTTCTTTAAATGTGGTGGAATTCACCAGTGAATTAATTTGGGCCTGGGCTTTTCTTTGTGGGAAGTTAAAAATTACTAATTCAACATCTTTACTTGTTATAAGTCTATTTAGATTTTCGATTTCTTCTTAGTCTGTGTTAATTGTTTGTGTTTCTCTAGGAATTTGTCAGTTTCATCAATGTTGTCTGATTTGTTGGCATACAGTTGTTTGTAGTATTCCTTATAATCATTTTTATTTCTGTAATGATATTTGTAATTTGATCTTCTCTCCTTTTTTCTTGATAAGTCTAGCTAAAGTTTTGTCAGATTTGTTTATCTTGGGCTTCCCTGGTGGCGCAGTGGTTGAGAGTCCGCCTGCCGATGCAGGGGACATGGGTTCGTGCCCCGGTCTGGGAGGATCCCACATGCCGCAGAGCGGCTGGGCCCGTGAGCCATGCCTGCTCCGCAGCGGGAGAGGCCACAACAGTGAGAGGCCCACGTACCATAAAAAAATAAATAAATAAAATTTAAAAAAATAAAATATGCTTTTAAAATTGGTAAATCTAAAGCACAGTTGGGTGAAGAGAAGTGGTAGGGAAAAAAAATTGAAAAGTAAGATGGGGCCAGATTTTACAAGGCCTTGACAGTCATTTTGCAGATTCTGAATTTAGCTCAATAAATACGGGAAATTTGAAAAACAGAACAATGACATGATCAGAACTCTATATTTTTATTGCCATGTAGAGGATTAGAGAAATTAGAGACCAGGAGAAAAATGAGGAAGAGCTATTGCCATGGTCCAGTCAAAAGACTGATAGACTTTCTCAATTTGGAGACAGACAGAGAGAGAGATTGTCAATCACAGGTTGGGCCTTCTGGAAGCAGATGCCAAGACAGGGTTTGAGGTGCAAGATATTATTAACTAGGGGGAGGAAGCAGGATGGAATAGAGGAAGAAATCAGACTGTAGTGTAGATCCAACAAAGACCCAGCCAACCTGGTGAGGAGCTCTGGAATGAACACAGCTCATCAGAAATACAGTGGGTCAGAATGGCTGAAACTGTATACCCCCTGCTTCGTTCAGGCACTGGATGAAGACAGCCCCAGGATGAGCATGACCTTGTGCAGGACTGTTCTCTGTGGGTGAGGCAGACCCTGAAGGAACTGAAGCAGCTAGAGGCTATCTGCTGACTATACTTCCTGTAGCTGAATAGCACGTCTTTCCTTTTGAAGGCAGAACTGGGTGGTACACCTCTGTGCCTACCAGAGAGAAAGAGATGAATTATGACATCTTGAACAAAAGCAATAGAGTGGAAAGGAGGGAGACGATTCTACAGATATTGTATTTTATAGGTTGGGATAAAAAGGGAGTAAATAAAGGTTAACAGTGAGGTCTCTATATTGATATGATTTGATGGTAATTCTGTTTAACTGAGAGTAAACAGAATAGGGAGACCAGGTTTGGGGAGACAGATATGGCATTTCATTTTGAACATGTTGACTCTGAAATGTCTGCAAAATATTAAGGTACAGATGATTTTCAAGAAGCAAGGCAAATGGGGGGGTCTGGAGGTCAGCAGCAAAGGCTATATTTATTGAGTATATATATATATATATATATATATATATATATATACTACCTTATATTATCTCATTTAATACTCATAATGCCTCTATGAGATAGGTATTGTTTTTATTATACCCTTTTAGTATATTTTATTATACCTTTTGTTTATGAAGAAACTAAGACTTGAAGAAGTTAAATGCCTGGCTCATAGAGGTAAAACTCGAGCCTGTCTTATGACAAAACACATGCTCTCAAAGACACCATGACATTGTTTCCCCATGGAAACCACCACATAGAGACAGTATTTGAAGTCATGGAAGTTAGTAGGTCACCAGAAAGGGTACAGTTTAAAGGGGAACAAAAGGAGCCAAAAAAAGGAATTCTAAGGAAGTCAACATTTCAAAGGTGAATTGAGGAAGATGACATAGGCAAAGGGATTGATTGAGCAGCCAAAACACTTTTTAAAGATGAGATGCATGCTATCTCAGAAGTTGGGGTAAAAAGAGAGCCCTAGTCCACAAAGTGAAATGTTGCAGATATCATGGAAGATGAAGGTTTCACAATTAGAGGTCATTGATTATCTTAGACCAGTTTACAGAGAAGTCAGATTGCAGTGGGTTGAAGAGAGAATGGGTGGTGAGGAAGTAGAAGCAAAGGGTATAGGCTACTTTCCCCAAAGTTTTGCAAAGTAGAGGAAATAATAATGCTGTATACACAAGTAAGGAATTTTATTAATGTTATTAATTGATTAATAATTCCTTGCTCCCATATTACTTCGATTGCACACTTTCATCATTTCTCTGGTTATTTCTACCTCTATTGTATAATACCAGTGTCCCTTCCCAAGTCTAACATACTGAATGTTGAAGCACTGAATGTTGGTTGTTTGGGTTGTGGATGATTTGTTTTATTTGGTTATGTGTTTTGAACGCCTCAGGTGATTCTGTCTTTGGAAGATGGGTGGGCCACAGACCACCTCCGTTGCCCCAACTCCATCATCTGTTTTCCACAAACATAGATAAGCATTCACTTCGCAGACCAGTTCAGCAAAGGTGCCAGTTCTTAGGTTCTTAGCAAACCAACTACCCTGTCTACCTAGGCTCCTCCCCTCCCCTCCCTCAAACTCCTGGTGGGCGGGTCTCGGAGAAGAAATGAGCTGCCATTCTAAATCTTCTGGAGTATAATGTCCCAGATGGGGAATCTGTACAGTTTTGCAGTGAGCTGAGATCTTCCTTTGCCAGGCCCCATCAGTCTAGCTCTTTTTCAGAGAGGGCTGGAGAGTAATTAACACCGCTGCCGTCCACCTGTGCACAAGAAGATGCCTACAGCCACTCCAGTGATGATGAAACAGCCCACCAGGATGCCCAGGACCAGCGAAGTGTAGGAGCGGCCTACTTGGCTTCCTGCAGAACACGCGGAGAGTTAGCTTGAAGAACATACCCCCAAGGAGTCCATGGTTTGAACCAAACCCCAAGGGATTCCTTCCCCAAAGGAAGCGGGGCGGGGAGGGCTAGTTCACCAATTTACGGAAGGTGTGTGTACTCTGTCCCAAACCGCCAGCCTTGGGCCTTCTGTTGCTCAAGGTATCCATCCTTCAGGTCCACGCATTTGCCTGGAACCCACCCAACACACAGGACCCTCCCCGATCCCACCATACCTTTCGAGCTGTTCCCGGTGATGTGTTTCTGCACGTACTGCACACAGGTGTCCTGCAGAAATTCCCTCAGTTCGTACCGAGTACGACTGTACTTGTTGAGCTGCTCCAGGGCGTAGGTGACCACACTGGAAGATGCCTGAGGCCCTGCCGTCCATGAGGCTGTCTTCGGTTGAAAACTCATAAAGGAGCTCCCATTCACAGCCACTTCGAAGAAGACACGGGCTTTCAAGCCCTCAGGAGGCAGCTCACATCCCAGGAAGCAGCGAATGGTCAGAGGAACTGTAGATGGGGGATTCAGGGTCAGAGGGCTATGTGGAAGGGTGTCAGGTGTCGGGGCATGTCCGCCAGGGGGAAGTGAGCTTTCAGGGTGCAGGGTGGATCAGGGACAGGGCCTCTTAACAGGGGCTACCCCGAGGTCATGCCAGCAGGAAGAGGGCCTGACGGACAGTACAGTACGTCAGCTAGGACACCCACTCTTCTCCAGCCTCCATCTCCCACCCAGCAATCAGCAAAGGCAAAAAGACCACGCCCGGCAAGGACACCCATCCCAGAACTTGACCCCGCCCGGTTCTTCCACAGACCCTCCCCCCAGTTAGGTCCCGCCCATAGGCCGCGCCTCCCACCTCAAGGGCCCACCCTCGCCAGCCCCCGCCCCTGCGTGCGTCACTCACAGGCCACGCCCCGCTCGTGGTGCACCACCTGCACCAGGCCCAGGAACTCCTGCAGGTAGCGATTCACACTGTTCTTTGTGAGAGCCCAGCTCTCGGGCTCCTGCAAGGGCTGCAGCTGTTGGATCGAGACGTTGTTGCCCGGGCCTTCCAGAACGTGCGTCAGGACCCCCCCGAGCGTCGCGTTGCCCCGGTGCCACACTTGAGAGGGGTTGCGGAAGTAGGAGACCTGGATCATGTGGAGGTACCGCGGGCCTGGGGGCAGGAGTCAGCGCGTCGGGCCCAGGCCGGCGTGGGAGGGGTCGGCGTGTAACCCGAGATAATAACTCCCCACCCAGAGGTCGGCCTTCTTGGCCCTTCCTAAACCATAAAGTGCCCTCCCACCCTTCCTTCCATTTGACGCTCTCAGGAACCCTGCCAGGAAGGCAGGACAGGGGTTATTATCTTTGTTTTTACAGATGAGGAAACTGAGGCTAGAAGTGCAGGAGCCACTTGCCCCAGGATAATCCAGACGGTCAGTGGAAGAGCCACTCTGGTCTGCTTTCTCTCTCTCACCCCTTCCTCCCCAGCCCCCCATTTCCGGTTGGTTAACAAATCCTGACCTACAATGAAGTCCCCATTCCATCTCCTGTTCTCTGTCTCCTCTGCCACTGCCCCACTTCAGGCCTCAGTGGTTCTCATCTGTCCTGGAGTAGTAACTTCCTTCCTCATCCCCAGCTCCACTCATCTTTCAGTGTCACCCCTTCTAATCTGCCCTCCACCTGGCCCAGAAATAAGATTATGTCCTTCTGCTTAAAAATCCTCCAGGGACACAGTCCCCTATCAACAACAACAATAGTAATAGCCATTAAGTGCTTATTATGACCTGGGCACTGTACTTTACATGCATCATTATCCTATTTGTGCTTTCCTTCCATTAACTTGATGTAGTCGCTACTATTACTAACCCCAGTCCATGTGGAAAACAGGTGAAAGTGGCATAGCAGAGTCAAGGTTAGCATGCAGACAGTCTGAGCCCAGCACTCTTAGCCACTCAACTATACTGTCTCCAAATAGGATATCTGTCCGTAGAATCAAGTCCACAGTCTTTAGCCTGACATTCAAGGCTGCCGGAGACTGGGCCCCACCTGCCTTTTTTGGCCTCTTCCCTGTGCTTAGATAGTACCTCAAAGTACTTGGAGTCTGTCATGCTGCCTTTCAGGTGACATGTGAATAGCATGCCAGGGTTGCTGTGTCTCCTGGCAAACTTCTGTTCATGCTTTAAGACCCAGCTGTTGCCCTCTCCTTGAAGAAGTTTTCCTAATGCTTCTCTTTACCCTCTCAGACACAGTGGGTCAGTTTCAGCGATCTCAGATTCTGCATAACTGTCTCCAAACACACAGGCTTCCATTCCTCTAGGCTATGGAATCATGTCTGGTTATCTCTGCCTCCTACACCCACTAAGGGCCTGGCATGGAGTTGGTGCCCAGAGAATGTCTGAGGGGGGAATGAGTCTGGCGATGTAAATCTCCTTGGGGACATGTGTCTTGTCCACGTTTGCATCTGAGAAGTTGTGCTCTGTGTCTGCAGATGTGAACGAGTATTTCTGTGTGGGTCACCCCCAGACAAGGTTCTTAACTGCTTTGACCAGTCTCCTCCTTTGTAAAATGGAGATAATAATATCACCCACCTTGTAAAGATTTTGTGGGAGTGAAATGAGTCAATACACGTATTAAGCATAGTGAGCACTGATTGAATACTGGTTATTATTTGCTCTCTCTCTGAGGGGGAGACTGAAGCTACAGAGGCTGTGGGAGAGGGGAGACGAGGCCCCTGTGCAATTACAGTGCAAGGCAGTAACTCCCCTTCCCTGCTTAAATGGAGCCACTGTGGCAGCCTGATCCTTCACAAGTTCTCCCATCAACCGCAGCTTGTCTCTCCCCCGGATTTCCCCTCACCAGCCTGCCCTCAGTCTTCCTCCACCTTATCTAGTCTCCTCTTCTGCCTCACAGGTCTCAGCCCCAGTCTTTCCCCAAGTCTCCCGTCAGTTCTCCCAGTGTCTCTCATTCCTTCCATCTCTTGTCTCATCCCTAAGTCTCTTCCCATGTTCCCTAAACTCACCTCCATCCACCATCACCCTCAGACCTCCCTCTCCAGACTTCGCCCCATCTTTCCTCTCTCCCCATGGCTAATTCTCTCACCCTTTCTACAAGCCCCTTTCCCATTTTTCCAGTCTTGTTTCCCCCCAGCCTCCTGCATCTCCCCCTTCCCAGGGGCTGAACTATGCTTCCTCACCTTGGCTTTGGGACACAAACCAGTCCCCAGGACCTGCCTGCCCGCTGGAGAGATCCAGCCGGCTGCAGACACAGACACTGTGGGATAAGCTCCCGTCTGGTCTTGCCTGTGTACCCAGACAGGCTGAGAGTCTCCAGAACCATCCCGGGGCACGAGATGTGCCCTCGACTCACCATCTGAGGCTTCCTGGCTACAGAGGGCCCAGCAGGGCAGGAGCAGTAGTGGCAGCAGGGGCAGCAGTGTTGTCAACATCCTGTAGCTGAGGTTCTTGACCCCACCTGGGCTCTTGGCTCTGGCAGGCTGGGGGCTCCGGCTGACTGCAGCCTAGGGGAAAAAGAAGTGAGGACTGTCTGGGAGGGGAGGAGACTGGACGGAGGAGGCTGGAAGGTGGCCAGGGCATGGGAAGAGAAAGAGGTCGGCAGGCTTATAAACTGTTATTCTTACCCAGTCACATTTCCTACTAGGAGGCGGGCCTCTCTCTTTCCCTCCCTCTGCCCCACCCTGAATCACACTCTCCTGCCTGCAGGGACCTGCCTTTTCCCTTTTCCCTGGGCAACTTCTGAGGAACAGGGAGCGGAAAAGGGGGAGAAGGGCCAGAGAGAAGTCCTGCCTTTGCTGAGTCAGGGGGTGGGGCATCAACTTAGAGCAGATTCTAGGATGTTGAGATCAGCATGTTCCTGGTGGGGAAACTGAGGCCCAGAGAGATGTAAGGAATTAAAAAAAAAATAAAAGAATGACATAGAACAGTATAAAAGTTTTCAGTGCATCACCCTTAATAAGGGTAAACATTATTTCATGAAATATTTGTTCAGTTGTATATGTGTGTGTGTTGGTTCTGTGTGTGTATATTTCTATGGTGGATATTGGGTAGCAGTGTGAAGTTTATTTCTTACTCTAGGAAGCAAGTAGAAAAATTTGAAAGTCACTCTCCCAAACTATGTTAATCTATACTGTGGGATACTATGCAGTTGTTAAAAAAAAACTCTTTCTGCCCAATGCCCACTCTGTTTTCATCATATTACTTAGCACTACCTGAAATGATTTTACTTATTCATTTACATGTTTATTGTCTGAATGTCCCATCAGGATGTAAGCTCCATGAGGATAGAGGCTGTCCATCTTATTTGCTGCTGTGCCTGGAACAGTGCACATCATAAATAATAGCATAATAGATAATAAATGTCAGCTAATGGATGACTCAGTGAGATAGTGATTATATATGCCTAAATCACCAAGAGTAAGTTACAGAATATTATGTACAGTTTAGAACCGTTTATGTGTCAGCCACGCACACAACAACTAAACAACCTATTTCTTTATGCGAGTAAAGGAATCTGGAAAGATGTACACCAGATATAGCAGTAGTTCATCTCCAGGGAGGGGCCTGAGAGTAAGTGTGTGTGTGTGTGTGTGTGTGTGTGTGTGTGTGTGTGTGTGTGTGTGTGTGTGTGTGTGTGTGTGGTGTATGCGTTAGGGGTGACAATCTTGTGAAAGGCTTTCTCTATTTTGTGAAGGATTTTATCACTCTATCTGTATTGTTTGAAAATTTTGCATCTAGAATGTGATCATATATCTCTTGTTGGATTAAAACTAGAAGTTTAAGTAACAGATTGTGGTAGAAGACACATTATGAACTGATGTGTTGACATGAGACACTGATAAATGAAAAAAGGAACTGCAGAACGATTTATATAGTAAACGATACATATAGTAAAATTCCATCTATTTTTAGTTTAAAATTTTTACTTCTGTCCAAGTAATCCATATTTAATTCCATTCTTATATTTAAAAAAAACTTTATTTGTGTAGCTATGTATTTATATATGCATAGGGAAAATGCCTGGAAGGGTACTGTCAGTAGAGATTACCTCTGGGGAATGGGATTAGATAAAGGGCTGAGGGGGGACTTTAACTTTTTATTTTATACACTGTTTCTTGGAGGGAGAGTAGATGTCGTAGTAGAATTGGGGCAAACCCTAGGCACATACCAGACTCCCAGTCTCTGAGCTGAAAATATGCAAGAGTGTCCATACTTACCTCTCAGTTGTTATAAACCAGCATAGAAATAACAAAGTTTTTTCCAGTTCGTCAAAGTGGTCTAGTTAGAAGGAGAATGGGGGCCTTGTTTTCCTGGACTGGGACTCAGGAAAGCAAAAGGACTTAAATCACTGCCAATTATATTGTCTTGCCTTTTGTAAAAAAATATTATGAAATAATTCATATTTGAAGAATTAATTCATGCTTGAATTTTATTACAAACATACAAGGCCCCACTACTCGGCATAAGAAATAAAATATTACCAATATAATTGCAGCCCCCTCTGTACTCCTCCCCAACTGCATCTCTCTCCCCCGTGCCCCACCACCAAAGTAACCACTAATCAGAATTTGCTGTTTTTTTATATCCTTACATTTCTGTATACTTGCACAATATATGCATATATCCTTAAGTAATATATAGTGGTATTTTGCATAAGTTGAGCTTTATAGAAATAGTATTGAAGTGCTTTTTTTACCTGACATATTAATGATTCATTCACGTTGCCCTGTGTAGGTCCATTAATTTCCACTGCTCTGTAATATGCCATCTTATGACTATACCACAATTTATTTATCCATTCTCCTGTTGTTAGACATTACAGTCTTTTTTCCAGGTTTTTGCTGTTATAAACAGTGCTGGTATGAATGTTCTTATAAACATTTTCTTGTGCATGGGTGGGAGAGTTTTTGTACGTGCAAACCTGGGAGTAGCATTGCTGAGTCATAGGGTATATGCATACCTTCAATTTTACTAGATATTGCCACACTGATTTACAAAAAGGTTGGGCCAATTTACACCCCAGCAGTGCGTGAGAGTTCCCTAGCTCTACTTCCTTGCTAGCCATTGACGTCAGATGGTTGGATGTAAAATGGCACTTTGTTTTGGTTTTACTTTGCTTTATCTGATTCCTGGTGAGTTTGTGCATTTTT